TCAACCAAAGAGCAGGTAACATATATATTTTAAAAAATCTCTCTCCCCTACTACTAAATTGTCCAGTCTGTGTCTTTTCCAGTGGGAAAGATTATCTTACTCTTTTTATTGCCACATACTGCATTATTTTCAGTCTGAGTTTTTAAAGGGTAAATGTGTGGAATCCTGACATCCATCAAATCATGAAATTATATATGAATTAAGAAACATCTATTTTGCATTGCATTCTTTTTAAAAATAGAATTACACGTGTTCAGTATAGTTCTTTGTTTCCTGTGAGCTGTGAGAGGAAAGTGATTCTGTCCCTTATTTTTAATTCTTTTGCGGGATTTGACATATGGGAAAATGCTGCCATAGCCTATTCTGTTTAATTGAGGTACCTGCATCACCTCTCCATCTAATTGACAGTTCAGAGATGTTCTGCCTTTTGTTTGAGGAGAAATCATGTTCTTATTGAGAAAATTGATCTTTTTGTGCTTGAATATTGAAAACCATAGTGTTTCAAGACAATTAAACATAACAGTTTTATTGATAAATGTCAGATCAGTTTTGTGGAGAATTAAATTGTGCATATTGAATCAGACATAGTTTGGACTTCATTACAATCACAGTCAATCTTTCTTCCCAAGAACAAAAATCCACCTGTTGTCCATGGATTGTGATCTACAATATTTAAATATCCCATAAAATGTTTTGGTAATCTTAAAGGAACATTAAGGTTTTATAGCTCCAGTTTTTTTAAGTAGATGGTGATAGTCCTCTGGATTCTAAATATTTTGTTTTGCTTTGTTTTGTTAAATCTTCATTTCTAGTCCATTAATTGAAAAACAAAATGAAAAGTCATAACTCTTTACATAAGGTGAAAAGTACAATTTTTATGTTCCCTTTGCTAGCTCTGGATTTGCAGTTAACCTGCACTATGTTCAGAGCTATGATTACATCAGATATACTAGTACACAAGAGCAAGAGTTTTTGGCTTGACAAGGTACTACATAATGTGGAATTGTTATTAAATCTAAACCCCATGTTAATTTTATCTTCCTTCAAAATGCAGAGAAAAATATAAAAGGGAATATGATAAAGGGAAAAATATTTTCCAGCAACTAAGAAATTATTACAATGGAGAATAAAAGGCAAATAAAATCAATGAAATCAATTATGTTCTTTGAATACCAAGTGGACAATAACAACTCACTATTGTAAAATTGAAGAAGAGTCTCGGACTGTGGGCTGTGATGCAGTCATTTTTCATAGTATCATTGGCCGATTCTGGTCCTAATACCAGCACAACCAGCCAGATGAGTTTCACCCCGTTATAGGACGGGAGGGGAGGAGGGGATTTTCTGTTGACTCAGAAACTGCTTTGCCATTGGTTTTTCAAGTAGCCGTGGCATTTAGGTGAAACAGGCCTTTTGTATCATGGACAGTTTGTTCCATAGAAGAAAATATCCAATAGGTCCAAACCACGGTGCCTAGAAGTTGGGGCTCTTCTGCTGATGATGATCCTGCTCCTTGTCCACAAAGAAATTTTTCAAAAATGAAAAATATACTCCTTTCCCTTAATGACAGGTCATGAATGTTCAGGGGTTTAGTTTCAGTGAAACTATGATCATTTGCTTGGAAGGGAGAAAGCATTATCCAAAACAATCAGAATGCAACACGATGATTCCTGCACTGTTCAGCATCAAACTTTCCTGATGGGGATCAGAGCTCACTCTGAGGAGTAAAGGCCACTCTCTTATCTTCAGTAAGCAAGTGCTTCCTTTTTAACAGACCTGTAAGTTGCAGTTAGTCTTTCATACAATCCTCTCATTTCACAAGGCATTCTAACTTGGGTGCCTGGAAAAATAACTCCTCCATATTGTTGTGGGCTTGCTATTTAGAGCCCATTAGAGAAAGACCTTGTCTTGCTCAGAGAACAAGTGATTTTTCTTACCTATAAATGGTGTTTCTCAGATGGTACAAGGTCAGTTTCTAATTACCTTAATTCTTTGATGGTTATATCTTATTAATGTTTTAATACACAGTGTGACGGTGCACCCCAGAAGGCTTTATGGAAATATGCTTATGAATGTATATATGACATAACTGGAATATGTTTTATGCTACATATGCCATGTAACACATCTCTGTAAAGGTTATGATCTAGTGAATCTATTCATCCTATTGATATGCACGTATCATTTTTGTATTTGAAATTATGAATATAAAGATTTGGTCAGCTTCTTGAGAAAGGAATGGGCAAATTAAGTGCCCAGTCATGAAACGCTTAATGAACAATGGATCTTGGAAGCCTCCAATCCACATAAGAAGTCTACTTGAGGATGTTCAAGGTGGCATTTGAACCATGGCTGCTACCTGTAAGTTCTGAGTCATGCATGGACATGTGACTTGCCCATGTGACTCCAAAACTCCATCTTGTAGCTAGGATTCTACACAGGGGGAGGGAGGAGTGTCCATCCAGAAGAGAGAGTCTATTTAAACCCCCGGGAGACCCCTCCATTTTGTCTTCAGCTGGCTCAAGAGATAGCCTCTCCACCCCCAAGGATACCTGAGAGAAACTGGAACAAAGGACAGTAACTACAGGGGGTGTGAGTGATTGCTGGACCGAGACTAGAAGGAGACTAGTCTGTAAAAGGAAGCTTACTGGAACGCCTCTGAGGGTGAGGTTTTATCTGTATTCAGTTTTCTTACTGTAGTAGGCATAGACTTGTGTGTTTATTTTATTTTGCTTGGTAATCACTTTGTTCTGTCTACTATTACTTGGAACCACTTAAATCCTACTTTCTGTATTTAAAATCACTTTTTACTTATGAATTAACCCAGAGCATGTATTAATACCAGGGTGGGGGGCAGCTGTGTATATCTCTCTATCAGTGTTATAGAGGGTGAACAATTTATGAGTTTACCCTGTATAAGTTTTATACAGGGTAAAATGGATCTGTTTGGGGTTTGGACCCCACTGGGAGTTGGGCATCTGAGTGTTAAAGACAGGAACACTTCTTAAGCTGCTTTCAGTTAAGCTTGCAGTTTGTGGGACGTGGTTCAGACCTGGGTCTGTGTTTGTGGCCAGCAAGTGTATCTGGCACAACCAGGCAGGTTCTGGAGTCCCAAGCTGGCAGGGAAGGCAGGGGCAGAAGTAGTCTTGGCACATCAGTTGGCAGCCCCAAGGGGTTTCTATGATCCAACCCGTCACACACAGCTTGTTTTTTCTTATCACTGTTCTACTGTTGAACTCTCTCTCTTCTTTGTTAAATGTAATTTTCCTGTATTGTTGTTTTCTTTACTCTTTCAATAACATTTTGATCTATTTCATGTGATCCAAATGGAGGGCTTGTTCTCTTAGTTGCTCTTGTTAACCTTTTTCATTCCAGCCAGGACTTCACCTCCCGCAGCTTGTATATATTTTATCTTTAGTGCAATGGTATCCATGGCTTGTATGCAAACAAGGAAACTCGAGAGCTCACTTAAATTGGTACGAGTAGTTCCTTGAGTTTGGTTTCTTATGTCTGTTCAGGTGGGATGGGAGAAAATACCCATCAAATTAGAAAGTGAGCTGATCCGTCACAGAATTATCACTTACATCCTGGGAAAATGGTATATTTTGGTTTCTGCTGAATATATATGTTAAAAAATATGAAAACTGATCACATATTGTAACAAAATCATGCCATCCACTAGATAGATGACAAAAACCTGCTTAGTGTCAATTTTTTAGTACTTACTAGCCAGGACCACAAACTAAACTAGAAAATGAAAATTAGAACCTGTCAGACCCTGGACCCCTCCAACTCAGAACATTTATTATGTGTTAATTGTTTGCTGAGGACTCTATACTTGTCTTTGATTATAATGTGTATGAGAGATAATATCCTTTCGTTAGGTCTTTTGCATTTAGGATTTAAATGTGTGATAAAATAATATTTTTAGAGGATGCTTAGTTTTAATGCATCAGATTTATTATTTTTTTGCTCTTGTGATAAACTCAGGACAAATGACCTGAGGGGGAGAGGGGTAGAAAACAGTCTCAGAAGGTTAAAAGGCTCTCCTCCCTATCAACTGGGGAGGGGTGACTACATGTCAATCAGGTTCAGCTGAGAAGCGGTTACCAGAGATCATTTAGGATCAGCTGAGAGGGAGATACCTGAGGTCAATTAGGATCAGCTGATTCCAACCAAGGGTGGCCTGGGACCTTTTTAAACCCTCCCTGGGGGGCGGGAAGGAGTCAAGCTACCAGGCGAGTAGCAGCATGGGAGCAAGCCTCTCCAGGAGGGGAGGCTGTATTCCCTCCCATAATGGAGAAAAACAAGCCCAAAGCACTGACTGAGGGAAGGACGTACTGCCCCTGTGCAGCCAAGAGGGACTGTTTTACCCCAACCCCGTCTCACCAAGGGTAAAAACAGCTGAGGCTTGCCACACTCTAGTTTACAGCTTTTAAATTCAATACGAAGAGCGTAAAGTAGAGGCGTACATTACAGTCATACAGAACAATAAATGAGGAAAGTACTTTTAGGTCCCTTTCAGTTCAATATTTTCAATATGTTTGATGAGATTTACAACACGGTATGTGCAAACAAGGTTGGCTTTACACTCGTGAGGTCCCAAACTGCTGGAAGGGAGGGAATTGGGCCAGGAGTTACAGTTTTGTCTGTTTCACCTGCCAGAGCGAAGATGTTATGCTGAGAATGGAGGTATCAAGGAGTAGGGCCCCAGCTAGTTCCTGTTCTGGTTGTGCTGAAGGCTGGTTGTGACCATGAGAAACATGCACATAATTGCTTTTTGTTTTCAAACATCTTTTAAAAAAAGCAGACGGTTCAGTTGTATATAGTTTCCTGTAATAATCTTTGCAGAGATTACTGACAGCACTTCAGATACAAACAATGTTCTGGATTTGGCATTAAAATATGTAAAAATATTACCTTCATCCCATTTTCAATTAAAATCATCATTATAATGCAGACTTTTTACATATTTATATTTATATTTGCTTTTGTTTTTAGCTGATGATGCAAATGTGAAGAATGAAAGCCTTTCATCTGTGCAGCAGCTTGGCATTAAAATGACAGTCAGGTACATTGCATTAAAATATTTCTCTTCTGTATTTCTAGAGTTTGATTTTTTTGCAATGACTTTAATGATATTTAATCCATCAACTCAACGTTTTGTACCATTTAAATCTAAAGATCATTTTTGAGAGAATGAATATTTACTTTAAAAATGAAAAAGGTATGAGTACATGGTTAAATTATCTGCAACAAATTAAATAGATTATTATTCATTATTTTTCTAAGGGCTAATTGCAACTTGTTTAGCAAGATTTACAGCTAACCATACATTATAGAATCTTAGAAATATAGGCCTGGAAAGTACCTCGAGAGGTCATTTAGTCCACCCCCCTGCTCTGAGGCAGAACAAAGAACATCCCTGGCAGGTGCTTGTCTAACCTGTTCTTTAAAACCTCCAACAATGGAGGTTTCACAGCCCCTCTTAGAAGCCTATTCCAATGCTTAACTATCCTTCTATTTGGGTATGTCTACACTATGAAATTAGGTCAAATTTATAGAAGTCGGTTTTTTAGAAATCGGTTTTATATATTTGAGTGTGTGTGTCCCCACAGAAAATGCTCTAAGTGCATTAAGTGCATTAACTCGGCGGAGTGCTTCCACAGTACCGAGGCTAGAGTCGACTTCCGGAGCGTTGCACTGTGGGTAGCTATCCCACAGTTCCCGCAGTCTCTGCTGCCCATTGGAATTCTGGGTTGAGATCCCAATGCCTGATGGGGCTAAAACATTGTCGTAGGTGGTTCTGGGTACATATCGTCAGGCCCCCGTTCCCTCCCTCCCTCGGTGAAAGCAAGGGCAGACAATCGTTTCATGCCTTTTTTCCTGAGTTACCTGTGCAGACGCCATACCACGGGAAGCATGGAGCCCGCTCAGCTCACTGTCACAGTATGTCTCCTGGGTGCTGGCAGACGCGGTACTGCATTGCTACACAGCAGCAGCAACCCATTGCCTTGTCGCAGCAGACAGTGCAATAGGACTGGTAGCCGTCATCGTCATGTCCGAGGTGCTCTGGTCGCCTGTGTGAGGTCGATCAGGAGCGCCTGGGCAGACATGGAGTGACTTGATCAAGTCATTCTCTTTAGTCCTGCAGTCAGTCCTATTGAACCATCTTATGGTGAGCAGGCAGGTGATACGGATTGCTAGCAGTCCTATTGCATGATCTTCTGCCGGGCAGGCAAGAGATGAGGATGGCTAGCAGTCCTATTGTACCATCTTCTGCCGAGCAGCCATGAGATGTGGATGGCATGCAGTCCTTTTGCACCGTCTGCTGCCAGCCAAAGATGTAAACAGATAGATAGAGTGTATCAAAACAAGAAATAGACCAGATTTGTTTTGTACTCATTTGCAAACCCCCGCCCGCCGTCTAGGGGACTCATTCCTCTAGGTCACACTACAGTCACTCACAGAGAAGGTGCAGCGAGGTAAATCTAGCCATGTATCAATCAGAGGCCAGACTAACCTCCTTGTTCCAATAAGAACAATAACATAGATGCACCATTTCTTATTGGAACCCTCCGTGAAGTCCTGCCTGAAATACTCCTTGATGTAAAGCCACCCCCTTTGTTGATTTTAGCTCCCTGTAAGCCAATTCTGTAAACCGTGTCGTCAGTTGCCCCTCCCTGTGTCAGAGCAACGGCAAACAATCGTGCATGTGAGTTGAGAGTGCTGTCCAGAGCAGTCACAATGGAGCACTCTGGGATAGCTCCCGGAGGCCAATACTGTCGAATTGTGTCCACAGTACCCCAAATTCAACCCGGCAAGGCCGATTTAAGCGCTAATCCACTTGTCAGGGGATTAAAAATCGATTTTAAGAGCCCTTTAAGTCGAAATAAAGGGCTTCATCGTGTGGACAGGTGCAGGTTTACATCGATTTAACGCTGCTAAATTCGACCTAAAGTCCTAGTGTAGACCAGGGCTTAGAAATATTTTCCTAATACCTAACCTAAATCTTCCTTGTTGCAGATTAAGCAGATTATTTCTTCACCAAATTTCTACATCACTTTCTCCTATTAAAGTCAACAGGAGAGCTCATGTGAGTGAGGTTGCATAAGTGTGTGCAGGTTTGAGGCCTAAATTTCCAAATGATCTTAAAGAATTGCCTCACATGTAGGACTTCACAATAATCTTATCTTGAAATCACAAAGACATGGATAATGGAAGCAAGTTCTATGTCTGAAAGAAATGGTTGAGGCCTTCTAGCACAGTGCAGATTTAAAAAAAATACAATGCTGGCATCTGCTGCAATCTGAATATCCAGGGACAGCTGAGGATATACTAAGACTCCTATGACAGGTTGCAAACCTTAGTAACAAATGTCTGCTGTGCTCCTTCAATAGAATCTAGACCAGTTCACCAGTTGCTTCCCGAACTGTCACCAGACTGAGTCCCCAGCCCTAACCACAGTGTACGTTTCATTACATATAGGGCTATGAGTTCTTAACTTTTCATAAATCCTAGAACTGTATTAAATGCATCCAGTAAAACATGTTCTTATTTTTAAAGAAGATTTTTAAACATTTTATGTTTTACATTTATTGAAACTTAAGTGTCTAAGTTTGTTTAAACTTTATTTTATTAGGTATGGTAAATATTTAAATTTGCTGAAAGATGGTGCTGAAAATGATCTGTGCCTGGTGTTAATGCACTGTGATAAATTTCTGAAACAACAGCAAACATCTGTAAAGTCCTCACTTCGTATCCTTTTTAGATGACACAAGTTAGATTGACCAAGACATTAGTGACAGTTGTCACTAATCACTGTCAAAGAAATTTTTCATTTATCTTGTTCTTTAATTCCTGGTGGTGGTGCAGACTACGTAGTATTTTTCATTACATTTTATGCACACATAAAAGAAAAATCCATTATTATGAAACCTTTATATCACTAAAATGTGTACTTGACAGAATAACTATATGATCTTTGACTGTAACCCTCGTCCTTCCCTTTTATTTGATTATTAAACTTGCTTGTGTGTCTTGTCTGGTTTTGATTTTAAGCTCTTTGGGGCAGAATCATGTCTTTCAATATGTTTGTACAGTGCCTAGAGCAATTAGCTCTGATCCCCATTAGGTCTGCTAGTTTCTTCTGTAATATTGATGATAAGATTATTATTATTATTGAACATTTAGTCATCTGCAGTTATAATTTGATTTGCACTATGGTTTTGATCTAATATTTTTTCAAATCATTGTGTATTTTACTTGTTTGTGTAAAAAAAACACAAAACAAAAAAGCCCTTTGACAGGCTATCCTACCTAGTAATGTATTTGGTTTATTATTTTATACAATATTTAAGGATGCTGGCAAAATATACTTCATTTTTAAAGCCTTTAATTTTTTTATGTTTACTATTGTTTTATACCTCCTTGGAAGTTTGGAAGCTACAACCTGTTTTCTTACTGAAATGTTTTTGTATCCACCCTCCTCTTTATTACATGCTGTCATAAATATAAAGGGAAGGGTAAAGACCTTTAAAATCCCTCCTGGCCAGAGGAAAAACCCTTTCACCTGTAGAGGGTTAAGAAGCTAGGAGAACCTCGCTGGCACCTGACCAAAATGACCAATGAGGAGACCAGATACTTTCAAAGCTGGAGGGGGGAGAGAAACAAAGGTTCTCTCTGTCTGTGTGATGCTTTTTGCCGGGAACAGAAAAAGAATGGAGTCTTAGAACTTAGTAAGTAATCTAGCTAGATATGCGTTAGATTCTGTTTTGTTTAAATGGCTGATAAAATAGCTGTGCTGCATGGAATGTATATTCCTGTTTTTGTGTCTTTTTGTAACTTAAGGTTTAGCCTAGAGGGATTCTCTATGTTTTCAATCTGATTACCCTGTAAGGTATTTACCATCCTGATTTTACAGAGGTGATTCTTTTACTTTTTTTCTTCAATTAAAATTGTTCTTTTAAGAACCTGATTGCTTTTTCATTGTTCTTAAGATCCAAGGGTTTGGATCTGTGTTCACCTATGCAAATTGGTGAGGATTTTTATCAAGCCTTCCCTAGGAAAGGGGGTGTAGGGTTTGGGAAGGATTTGGGGGGGAAAGATGTTTCCAAGCGGGCTCTTTCCCTGTTAGACGCTAGGTGGTGGCAGCAATAAAGTCCAAGGGCAAAAGGTAAAATAGTTTGTACCTTGGGGAAGTTTTAACCTAAGCTGGTAAAAATAAGCTTAGGGGGTTTTCATGCAGGTCCCCACATCTGTACCCTAGAGTTCAGAGTGGGGAAGGAACCTTGACACATGCACATATTTGTTTACTGTTATAAAAGTACTTATGGGTGTTGGGCTATTAGTGTTAACTTAAAATAAGCATTCAAGCACCTAGGTTTTGGTGTTTTTGTTTGTGTTTTTCGAAGGGTCATGGCAGAATTACGTGGAATTTGCAGAGAGGAAAATTAGTTCAAAGTCTAGGGGCCTAATTTATCACAATGAATTTTACTCCAGTTTTATACTGATTTAACTTTAATGGACTTTTTATGTTCAAGAAACCATCTTCAGTGTAGCTACACTAGTGCAACACCGTAGTTGCTACAATAGGACCCTGGGTCTACACATCTTGACATTGTTCTGTTTGGATTGTTATATTAACTTCCAGATTCCCATTTTTTTTAAAGTACCTGATTTGTTGTGATTCACAATCTAATTTTTTTTTATTATTATTTTGCTGATTCTTTGTTCCTTGGAGAAAAGAAACGTGGTTTTATGCCAGCAATAGTTTGTTCTTTGTCAGAGTTCCTTAACGTTCTCCTACAGGTTGTCTGCAGCAAGGTTATGCTGGCTATGACTGGTTTGCGTCTTCTGTATTTCTGATAATGTCAGGAGAGAGAGAGAAAACATTAATATTTCTTCAACAATTTTCCAGTCTTCTCATCTCAGCATTTCTCTGGCTGCAAAGACTGCATGTTTCCGTAAGACTTTAAAAGCTTTTCTTTTTAAAGGTGGCTTTGAAATTTTTTAAAGGAATGTTTATCAGTTTCCCTGAGTTATTGTTTCACTTTTCATTAAGATCCTCTAACTGAATGCTTGTCCCTTAAAAATTCTCTCAGAAAAATATAGATTTGACATTTGTTCAAATGGTTGTTTAAAGGCTATGAAATAATGGGTAGGCTAATGGCAGTGTTATTGAAAGTTAAAGTTGGCAATAAAATAAACTTTATTGGTTGTGTTAAATTCTTTGTGTAGGGAGAAGGTACTACTGAGTGGCCTTTTTATTATTATTACACTGTGCAAGTTCATTGTTTTGATTATTAGCTTTGTTGTATTATAAAATCAATAAAAGGCACAAAATATCAGAGTTGTACAGAAAAATACTAAAATGCTTTAGTAATTAAAAACTTCCGTACTGACCAAGTACCGAATAATTCCATATTTCAAATGGCTGGTATTTAAATCAAGCTAGTTACACAAGCTCCATAATTTTCATCCTTTGTTAAATATGATGTCATCTATTTTAAAAAATCTCTTTTGTTTGGTATTGTACTTTGTCAGGTTCTGTGACTGGTGTAAATTAAACTATCAGCTATAGTCAGTCACTGCAAAATTGTGGGCTTATTAAATGATTCTCTAGCTCTTTTTCAAGAGGGTGTTTGTATATTTCCAGTTGTAGTACATACCGTATGACTAGCACCTGGTCCAATTCTGCTGCTGTTCCAGCACAGAGAAGGTTGGCTTCATTTTGTGAGTCTGTTTGTGCTGACCCTCCTCCGTACTGAGGAGTTTGGTATCTTCATAGCTAAATTAACAAGTGTGGAACCTCCAGGCAAAAGTATAAAGCAGTTTTAGGCTAAAGATCCCCACATTAAATGTTAATTAGCTCCACCAAAGCATTAACATGTACAATCCAGAACTCAGCTCTACCTCCTCTTTGCCCCAAACAGGAGTCTTAATTTCTCCCATTATGTAACTCTCCGTCTCATCTGAGGTGTCACCTATATGGAGTGGGAGGTTGTACTATACATGCAACCTCCTGTGAGCCAGGACCCAAAGGAAAAAGAAGGAGAAGTTCAAAGGAATGCACGTCTTCACCAAGCCAAAAACACATTACTTACAAACCACACACCCATCTACCCAGCACATTCCACACTGGTAACCTTTCATTCCCCACTCTCCCATTCAAATAGAACTTCACTTCTACCCTCCATATATATTCTCCTCCACATACACACACCACACCTGGGCAAATCATGACAGCTCCATCCAATTCTCTGTCCACTACATAGGATTGCAAAAAGCATCTGTCATAAATATAAAGGGAAGGCTAACCACCTTTAAATCCCTCCTGGCCAGAGGAAAAAACCCTTTCACCTGTAAAGGGTTAAGAAGCTAGGATAACCTCACTGGCACCTGACCAAAATGACCAATGAGGAGACAAGATACTTTCAAAAGCTGGGAAGAGGGAGAACATCAAAGGGTCTGTGTCTGTCTGGGTGAGGCTTTTGCCGGGGACAGAACAGGAATGGAGTCTTAGAATTTAGTAAGTAATCTAGCTAGATATGCGTTAGATTATGATTTCTTTAAATGGCTGAGAAAATAAGTTGTGCTGAATAGAATGAATATTCCTGTCTGTGTGTCTTTTTGTAACCTAAGGTTTTGCCTAGAGGGATTCTCTATGTTTTGAATCTGATTACCCTGCAAGGTATTTACCATCCTGATTTTACAGAGGTGATCCTTTTCTTTTTACTGTTTCTTCTATTAAAATGTTTCTTTTCAAGAACTGAATGCTTTTTTTCATTGTTCTAAGATCCAAGGGTTTGGGTCTGTGGTCACCTATGCAAATTGGTGAGGATTTTTACCAAACCTTCCCCAAGAAGTAGGGTGCAAGGGTGGGGAGGATTTTTGGGGGGAAAGACGTTTCCAAACAATGCTTTCTCAGGAAGCCAGAGAAACGTTTCGTGGTGGCAGTGGAAAACCAAGGGCAAAGGGTAAAATAGTTTGTACCTTGAGGAAGTTTTAACCAAAGCTGGTAAAAGTAAGCTTAGGAGGTTTTCATGCAGGTCCCCACATTTGTACCCTAGAGTTCAAAGTGGGGAGGGAACCTTGACAGCATCAGTCTCCTATTCTCCACTCCCTCATTTATAAACAACAGTCTCTATGTGTCTACTTGGGCAATGAATGGGGAGGGGAATCTCACCCTTCCTACTCACAAAGTTAACATTCATTAAAACATATATGTAATAATGAATTGGGCTGTCAACCAAGAGAAATAGCTTGTAAACCTTTTTGTTTCTCTCAACAGTTTCTCTCTCTACAGTTTTCCACTCATTTTACCACACTTTTCTCCTGCTTCTGGTACCAACGAATATTTACTTATTTAGTAGTGTCTTTTAAAGTAAAATCATACATTTTCTTCTGTAGTAAGTAACAATTATTATTTGTTGTTTGCTTTGTTGGTCAGGTACACCTATCTATTGACACAGCAGAATCTGGCATCCACCCCATCTATTTTTGCAGTGCTCACTACATTGAGATGTTGCTGAAGGCTGAGTTGCCACTTGTCTTTTCAGCTTTCCACATGTCTGGTTTCACTCCATCACAGGTAATTTACAAAAGCATATTAAAGCATTGTTAAATGTTTGACTTAAATCCACAAAATCAAGGCTATTCAGAGAAGGTTAAAGCTACTATAGCTCAGGTACATAACAAGCTATAAAACCCAGCCACAATAAAATGACTAAAGAATAAAGTTTTAGTCTTCAGCCACACAAAATAAATTGTTGTGAAAATCAGATAACTATTCATTTTGTAGGCTTTTTAATATAGATTTTTATGTTTAGGACTAAAAGTACACAGTTAAAACATTTTAAAATGGAAAACAGTTGACTTCAATGGAACTATGCCAATTTACTTCAGCTGAGGAGCTGCCCCTTCCTGTTTTATGCAAAAGCTTGACCAAAATGTGCTGGATTTTTTAATGGAATCATAAGGGGTAAAAAAATCTCAATGGCACGGTCATTTCCGGTAAGGGGCTAAATTCTGTAGTACATTTGTATTGTATAAGACAATTCAGCTTATATTGGAGTTAAATTTCCTGATATCACAACCAATCATTACAATTAAGTGAAAAAGCAAGCCCAAATCCATATATTAATGTAATATTAAGGCTGAGATTTTACTCAAACACAGCAACCTTAGGTCCTCTCATGTGTGTTTCCATCGTGCTTTGAAGACATAAAGTCCCATGTAAGTGCTGTTGCTTCTAGAGATTTACTCAAGGCTATGGATGAACAAACATGCAGGCTCTTCTTCACCACCTTACGGGTGGGGAAGGGTGCTGAAAAAGATCAAGAAAAAGTCTTATAGTTGCACGGGGCTTAACTCATTGAAAAGGTCATTTTGTGCCAAAATTTGGAGGCCCAAGTGTGTTCTTTATGGGAATGGATGTGGATGTGATGCAAGAATTGATTAAAAGAGAGAAAACATGAACTCATCAAGATTTACAATGTCTGAATTTGATTCTACTTCCTTATGTATACTGCTCAGCCTTACCCATAAAGGATAAAATTTAAAATATAAGAAAAAGCTGCCTTTCAAAGTGAAAGGAACGGACTGTTTTTTTTAAAATGAGAAAGGGGAGGAAGTATAATAGCACAAGGCATCAGTTCACACATGGCCTGATCCAGCTGTTGTTGAAGTCAATTGTCCTTGTCTAATTTAGGATTAAAAATGTGGTGTTAGTACCTGTTAATGAACCTATCCTTACAACACACTTTTTATCGTCCTTTAGACAAGCATAGTGAGCAGGATCTGGCCCCAATAAAGGTTAATTGCCTAAGTTTCAGAGATGCTGAGCATTCCCAACTCCCACTGGATTCTCATTCCTACAGGACAGATGTTCTTATCACAGAATAGCTCAGATGAAGCGAATGAATATCTTAGTATTAAAGCATTGGACTGGGATTCAAATATATGACAGCTTTTCCTGTGCAATCTTGAGCAAGTCACTTTATGGCCTCATTATCAAAGGTGTTGAGATCAAGAATTCCCAAGTCAATGAGAGTTGTTGCTGCTCAACTCATCTGAAAATCAGTTCCTGAATTTCTTTATTCTTCAGCTCCCCATCTGTTAAGTGGAGGTAGTAATATTGCCCTTCCTCCACAGGGGTGTTACATGGATAAAATCGTTGTACGTGAGGTGTTGAAATACTACAGTGTTGAGCAGTTGAACAACCTATTAACTAAATAAATCAATATTGGTATTAACGCCTTTATTGGAAGTCTCAGCAGGGATGTTAAAAACTCAGTGAATATGGAGATTGAACTAGACCTCCATGCAGTCCCTTCAGGGTCAGGGTTGACGCATACTGGTGGGGCAGCGTAGAGAAAGATACTGCACAAGCAGAATAATGCACGCTATTAAGTGGAATAGAGGCTTTCCCTCCAGGGATCTCACTTTCACAAACACTGCATTTACTTTTAATAATAATAAATAATCTGTCTTTTGAAAAATATATGAGATAATTTGTATGCCAAGTTTTATCACAATTCACAGTAATACCCACGGCAAGAATAAGCTTTTAATGGAAACACGTAACTAGAATGGACACCACTGTAATAGGCACACATCCTCTGGCTATATTATTGTGTTATTTTATTGCAAAAGATAATGCTTCATTTAACTATGAAAGCAACTTTAACATATATAAATGTCAGTGTACAGGAATACACAACTGAATGCAGTCTCATTCTAAAGCATAGCCATTGTAATCTAATTAGAAACAGTACTTTCTGCTGCTTCATATTTTTAAACACTTAGGAGCTGATTAACAAAGGATTTGTGGTCTAGAGCTAAATGAAGTGTGCTGTACACAAGGGATTAAGCAACAAATTGTGATTTAGAAATGGAAAATACACAAGCTGCTAAAGCCTGTCTCCCATACCATTCAATTAAATCCGAAGCTGCCTCAGGGAAGGACCTACCATTCATTTACAAGGCACAGAAATTCTTTAATTTAAAGGGAAACACACATTAAATATACCTTCAAAGACCTCCATGCCATTTAAAAAAATCTTAATAAAATTAAATACATAAAGAATAGTTTATTTTTTCTGTCATTAAACTTTGAAATTTGTGTTTCAACTTAAACAATTATAGATTCATAGATACTAAGGTCAGAAGGGACCATTATGATCATCTAGTCCGACCTCCTGCACAACGCAGGCCACAGAATCTCACCCACCCACTCCTGCGAAAAACCTCTCACCTATGTCTGAGCTATTGAAGTCCTCAAATCGTGGTTTAAAGACTTCAGGGAGCAGAGAATCCTCCAGCAAGTGACCTGTGCCCCATGCTACAGAGGAAGGGAAAAAACCTCCAGGGCCTCTTCCAATCTGCCCTGGAGGAAAATTCCTTCCCGACCCCAAATATGGCGATCAGCTAAACCCTGAACACATGGGCAAGATTCACCAGCCAGATACCCAGGAAAGAATTTTCTGTAGTAACTCAGATCCCACCCCATCGAATATCCCATCACAGGCCATTGGGCCTATTTACCATGAATATTTAAAGATCAGTTAATTACCAAAATCATGTTATCCCATCATACCATCTCCTCCATAAACTTATCGAGTTTAATCTTAAAGCCAGATATGTCTTTTGCCCCCCACTGCTTCCCTTGGAAGACTATTCCAAAACTTCACTCTTCTGATGTTTAGAAACCTTCGTGTAATTTCAAGTCTAAACTTCCCAATGACCAGTTTATATCCATTTGTTCTTGTGTCCACATTGGTACTGAGCTTAAATAATTCCTCTGCCTCCCTGGTATTTATCCCTCTGATATATTTATAGAGAGCAATCATATCTCCCCTCAACCTTCTTTTAGTTAGGCTAAACAAGCCAAGCTCCTTGAGTCTCCTTTCATAAAACAAGTTTTCCATTCCTCGGATCATCCTAGTAGCCCTTCTCTGTACCTATTCCAGTTTGAATTCATCCTTCTTAAACATGGGAGACCAGAACTGCACACAGTATCCCAATTGCCTGTATAGATGTACATTAATGGATTACATGCATTGGGTTCTTCTCTATAGCAGTGTCAATTGGGGCTGAACATGCATTATTTCAGGGCCAGTGATATCAAATGAGGATCATGGTCCCTGCTGCACCTCAGTTCTTTTTGACTATCATAAGCAGTGAGGTCAAACTTCAAAGCTCACTTCATTATCCTTTTTCAAAACCCCTTTTTCCTGTTAGAACAATAGTTGTTAAGAAGAGAATACATTTAGGACAATTAATCTGGAGGTTTTTTCACTTTATGGGTCATTTTGTTTTGTTGGATTGATTTTGTTGGTTAGGGCAGCACTGTTATGTATCACTTTTGCATTGTTCCAAGCCAGACAATATTGAGACCAACATGTCTGAAGCCAGTAGCTGGCTTTGAATTATTTTGGTCTTATCCTTCTCAGACCACCTCTTGGAGAGTCACTTGTTCTTTTGAATCTCCCAAGAGTTGTGAGCCATATGGGAAGTTCTCAAAGGAGAACAATGGTTACTGAGTGTGCTAACTGCAGTTGTTTGAGATGGTTACCCACAGGAATTCAGACTCACTGTGTACCTTCTTTAGAGCCTCAGGTGAGGGAGTCTTCGAATACATGGGAATGACTAAAGGGCATTGGGAGCCACACCTCTTATGCTCTTACATCCCAGTACAAGGGAAGAATTTAAGACCAACACTGCTTGCTACAAACTTTTGGGTTTGTGCACTAGAGGCACACTTTTCTTAAGAGTGGGGATCTACACAGGCTTCTCTTCAAGAACCACAGTTACTATGGTAAATAATATTTTTTATTCAATATACCAGCTACGTAGTGTATCCATTTTAAATGCATATATTAAGCCGGGGTTCTCTGCCTGTTAGTCATGACCACCAACCTATGGGTTGGGTAGGGGTTCTAGCTAGATCCTGGCTGGATGAGAAGGGGGCATAGGATGGTCTTGGTGTTGAAAAGAGGTTTGTGGTATAGAAAAGTTATTAATTTATCAGTGAAATACTGTAGGAAATTGAATTTGTTTTTATATTTCCCTAGATTTGTCAGCAGTGGCTAGCTCAGTGTTTCTGGAATTACTTGGACTGGAGCGAGATCTGTCACTACATTGCTACATGTATTTTCCTTGGTCCTGATTATCAGATCTATATGTGTATATCTGTGTTCAAACATCTTCAGCACGATATTCTGCAGCACACACAGACCCAAGATCTACAGGTTTTTCTCAAAGTAATGTTTTTTTTCTTCAGATTACCAGATTAGAGGAAAGCTACACTTTCCAGACTGAAAAGAGATGCTATTTTGCCAAACAACTGAATTTCCAGTATTGGTTTTATTTTCCTCTCATTCCTCTCTCTCCCCCTCTCTCTCATGTCTGTTTTCCATGAGGAACAAAGGGCCTTCACCCGCCTACTATCTTTGCTGATCTCCTGCTGCATTCTTAGCTTGTTCCCATGTCATTCTGATAGCTTTCAGTTCTGCTTCTTTTGTGTATTTTCATGTTATCCTTCGTCTACCTCATTGTCTCTTCCCCTGGGAATTGCAGTCCAAGGCCTCTACTGCTGTGTTATTCAGGTCTTTCCTCCATCTATGTCCTAGCCATCTCATTTTTTTAATGTAATTTCCTTTCCTATTGGTTTCTGTTTCATCATTCTCCAGAGTTGTTTGTTTGTGACTTTCTTTCTAGCCACCTGATACTGAGGATTTGTCTAAGGCAGCTGTTAATGAAAACATGGAATTTAAATAATGTGCTCATAATAAGTCTCCAAGTTTCAGTGCCACATAGTAAGCCCAACTGTACAGTGGTGTTATATATTCAAAGTTTAGTTTGGAGGGAAAGATTTCTGTTTCTCCAGATTGGCTTTAGAGTTACAAACGCATGTCTAGCTTTTACTCTTCTGGTTTTAAAGTCTTCATCGGTTCCACCCATTGTACTTACAGTGTTACCAAGATATTTGAAATAGCAGACTTCTTCTTTGTCCATCTCGGAAATTTCTGTTGGTGTTTCATGTTGTGTGTTGATTCTCATGGTTTTAGTTTTCTTGGTGTTGATTTTTCAGCCTTACTATCTGTGCAGAGGCCTGGCAATCATACGTTTGAGCTTTCATGTCTCTGTTGGTATGGTATAGCAAGTTGATGTCATTTGCAAAGTCAAGGTCCTGTTAACTTGTGTGGCAGTCCATTATCTGACCCTGTAGTCTTTCTCATTACCCAATCCCCTATCAGTAAAAAAGATCATAGGTGACATAAAACAGTCTTGACTGACACCTGAATGATTTAATCAGTTTGCTGCTATGTATTTCTTGGCACGTCATATTTTCATAAAAGCTCTGAATGATGTTCACATATTTCTAAGGGAAATTTCCATAATGGCACAGCAACTTCCATAAAAGAGTTTTATCCTCTGTATGGCTTTTTGGAAATCTATAAAATCAATATGAAGTGGTAAATGCCATTTGATCAACAGTTCTGTGATGAAACATAGGGTTGATATTTGATCTATACATTATTTCTCTTGTTTGAATAATACCTGTTGTTGAAACTGTGACCCTACCACTTTCTTTATTCTATAGAGAATAATACCTTTAAATACATTAGTTGGAATAGACAGCAGTTGAATGCTTCTCCAGTTTTTACCCCTTCCTGAAGTCTCCTTTCTTTGGTAGCTTCACAATATGACCCTTTTTTCACTTGTCATTCGCTTATACTGTAGGGGTCTTACAATATTACAGTAGGTATGATACATAAGTTTCAGTATGATGTACTGTATTGCTTACTCCTGGGGGGATTCTGCTCCAAAAAATTCAAAATTCTGCATATTTTATTTGTCAAAATAATGCAATAGACTCACACCAGTTTCAGTTGTTTGGGTAATTTATTTAAACTACAAAACAGAAAAAAGTCACAATAACTATTTAGCATTTCCTAAACAAATGAAAGTTAGTTACAAACAGTTAGTAACTAATACTCTGCATTCCAGTTATAATTCTGGAATTTCATTGAAATTACATTACAGAACACCAAACAGCAAAAAAAAAAAAAAAAGAGTGTCATTTTAAATTGCTCAGTCTTTCACACATGAAAGTCATGCAGTTTTGCTAATCATTGTCCTGCATTTATGTGCAATCCAGGATTTTCATTTAAATTACAGTACAGAAAACAGAGCCTTCAAGTTTTTCTCACTTAGTGATTTCCTTCTGCTTGAAAGGATCAAATTGTACAGTGAAAAACTTCTCTCTGCATCTGCAGAATTTGAGACAGCACGTATGCAATTCAAGGCCAGTTTGGTGATATTTGGAATTCTCTGTGTCATTGAAAGTCAAAACACTTGGAGGTCAACAAAAAATAGGTTGACTTTGAATAGCTTCAGGAACAATCTTTTCCCTTACAATTTTAGCTTCCGTTGAGGTACCTCAGAAAAACCAGGTATTGCTGGCAGATTTTTTTTTTTCATTTTTCTGTGCAGGGGGCACAGAAAAGTGGGGGCTATATGAATTCTGGAATTCTGTCAGGAGTAATTGCTTTCTTGTTTTTCAAACCACGGCAAGGCATTTTGAGTGTACTAAAGGCATTAGAATGTGAAAGGATGTTGACTTGTTCATCATCAACATCACCTTTGTTATATAATTTTTTTTAATCAGGAAAAATGGTTCATATAACTTATCATTTGTAGTACTGGTGTTCATAAAATGGAGATTCTCTTATATTATACACTAGAAGTGCCACCCGCATGCCGCACTGGGTATCCAGTGCTGATTTGTGTTTGGAGGGGAGTATGATTGTAAGTGCTTTGAGGGAGAGTCAAAGGGATGAAGGTAAGAGAAAAGAAAAGGAGATGCCAAGACAACAAAGGAGGAAGAGAGCGGCAAAAGAAAAAATAAATCTTTTGTCAGGAACAGTGCATCTTATTATTTACAGACATAAAGAAAGTGGTTAGGGTTTTAGAGGAGGGACAAATCATCGGACTAAGGTTCTTTAAAAAATTCTCTCTTTCACATTTTAGCTCCTATTTTTTTAATGTATAATGGAAAAGATTCTTGAACCCTGAAAGGGTACATGTGACTATTTAGAGAATTTTAAGAGTTAGGGCTAATATTATCAGGTGCTGAATGTAATGCTTGTCTGTAGCTTCTTTTTTGTGTGCAAATGAAACTGTCCTCATATTTTAAAGGATTTTTTTTTTAACTGGAATAGTAAGGTAGGCCAGTATGGAAAGACAGTGGTAGTTATAAGCAAGATAAATAATTTTTTGCTGACAAATCATGATCCTTTCCTTTAGAAAATATAAGTGGCAGCGGGTAAAAAAAGAAAATATACAACCATCAAGCACTATACCATATCTTTGTATATGATAGATAGAGAGGGTTGGGGATTCTATACATATCAAATGACTCCTATTAATAAGAAATGGAGGAGATGTAGCACATCTAAAGAAATGGGAAAATGTATATTCAACTCCTTTTGCAATTACTATGCATACAGCAACTTTTAGACTTCCATTTTATGAGTGCTGTTTCAGTACAGTAAGTGAATAATCCCTGCACTGAGAAGTTAAAACTCAAACCTGGACTTGTAAATTTCAAGAAAACTAGTAATTGACCAACAGCATTATGGGTATTAAACCTAATTAACCCTATTGACAGTCCATAAAATTGCTGAACTTGAATTAAAAAAATAATAGAGTAGATCAGTGGTAGGCAACCTGTGGCCCACGAGCCACACGCGGCCTGTCAGGGTAATCCACTGGTGGTCTGTGAGACAATTTGTTTATATCGACCATCCAGACAGTTTGTTTACAACGACCGTCCGCAGGCATGGCTGCCCGCAGCTCCCAGTGCCCGCGGTTCACCGTTCCCGGCCAATGGGAGCTGAGGGAAGTGGTGCGGGCAAGAAGCAAGAGAGACAGACTTTATCCTTTTGGAGGAGGCCTTATTTGTTCAACATTCTATATTAAAAAGCTGGAGACATCAGATGCCAATATATCAATCACTGAAAAGAAAGGAAAAAACTCTGGGTTCTTCTTCAAGGAGTTTCTCTGGGGGTGCTCCACATTAGGTGCCTTGATGCGCTGTGCTTGCAATAGGAGATTTGTGGTAGCAGTGCCCAGTTGGGCCGCTCTGCCGTCTCATGCCGCTCTGAATGGTCACATAGCGGTGCACAGCCAACCATTCACCTCTGTTGGCTTGAGTCGGAGCAATCAGCAGCACCCTTTCTTACCTCAGATAAGATTTATAGTAGCTAGTTCATAGTGATAGTGTTAGCTTAGTTGTACTTAGTTCCCCTATCCCCTTGCATTACTCTAATTTCTTTAAAATTAAAAAAAAAATTCCTTTACTTTCCCTATCTACTCCTGCCTCTCTCACAGGTATACAGTCTTAGTCTCAAACAGGGTTTACCCTTGTTTTTTCTCTCTAAGAGACCGACTCTCAGGCATGCCCAGCTCACCTGGCTTTAAATGCTGCCTGACTTGCAGACTCTCCGTACTGGTCTCTGACAATCGTGCTCAGTGTGTCCGCTGCCTTGGTGAGACACACGTTACTCAAAAGTGCCCATACTGCAGAAAACTGACAGCTAGGACAAGAAAAGCCAGGGATCTTCAACTGAAGCACCTCATGATGGAGAAATCCCTCAGGCCAGCCTCCAACCCTGAGTTCAGGACACCCCCTGGCCAATGGTCACCAGCGGCAGCCTCTGACAGGGGCTCCACTTCAACAATGGCTACCAAGGAGCCTGCTCCTAGAAGGGCTACCAAAAAGCAGTTGTAGATATCCCCACATCAAGAATCGCCTAAAAGGAAGCAATCTCCAGTTGAAAAATCTGCCCCAGTACTGATGGCACCGGGAGCACTGCACCACGAAGCACTGGGAACCTCCGGCACTGAGAGTTCTCAAAGAGCTAAAAACCCTCTGCCAGCAAGCCATAATGGAGGTTCACACACTAAAGTGAAATCTTCCAGCTTGGCACCCATGGAGCTGAAGAAAATCTCAGCACTGAGCATTACAGTGGTGCCACTGCTGTATCTGTGCCTCACAGCTCTACATCCTCGGCACCTGCAGCTTCAGCTCATGCTTCCGGGCTGTCCACCACACCGTCTCTGGCACCAAGCCTCACAGTTCCACAGCAATTTGTGAGGCATGCGGACCTGATAGTGGTCTTAATTCCTGAATCTCCTCTACTTGACACCAAGGGTACCCCATCTAGATCGGTAGTAAGCCAGCTGACTACTCCTT